GGTTGGGCGTTTTTTTTTTTTTTTTTTTGATTTTTCTATCTTTCCCTCTTCCTTCCTCTCTAAAATTAATAAAGAAAAAAAAAATATATATATATATGGCTTGAGTGAAACCTGAAGGCAAGAACAAAAAACAAAAACAAAAAACCTGAAGGCAGAAATAATGAGCACCAATTATTGACATTTCAATTGTAACTATTTCAACTGGGATTTAGATAATCCTCCTAATAAAGTCAGAGTTCAAAGTACTTTAATTGTGGTTCTAAAATAAACTATTTACCTCATTGTAAGCATTTCAGATTTTTAATCTTCTAATCTTTTCCTTATAAAAAAAATACATGCCAATAATCCTTACATTTCTTAAATAAATACTGCTTACTTTAAGTAAAAATAGCTTTGTCATTAAATATATGAGCTTTCCTCACTCTTAGTAAGTGTCTCTACCCTAAGCCATCAGTTTGTTTAACAAATTTTCAATTACTTACCATAGAAATGTCCAAATCCCATGCTGATTGCAATCACCAGAGCAAGTATAACACACTTATTGAGGCCACTACTGAAATGGCGTTTACCCAGCTCCTTAGAGGGTTCAGTTTCTTGGTCAGCGAGCAGTCGTTCTTCAGATTCTGAACTAGAAATAGTTTTCTTCCTAGCACGGCGGCGTCTAAAGGCAGGACTGGGCTGATGGCTGGTTTCATCACTACTTGATTTGTCGTCACTCGGCTGAGATGAAAATACTATTTTAAAAAAAAGTAGATAAATATTTAAAATTTTTACAAAAGTTTCCCTAGTATATATGATTTAGAATAATCAATGCCATCCCTACATGCTTTTTTTACATAAGACAGCCAAAAACAAAACAACACAACATGAACTCAAGTTTTCAAGGTTATGAACATAATGCCAAAACATAAAATATTTCAACTGTGATACACAAGAATCTGTTAATCATATTCTGTGCCTTTGAAGGTCTGTTTTATTGTTAAACCTCTCTTATAGTTTATACTATCAGAACAATCATTCTCATAATCTATTAAATTTATTTGATAGTAGAGCTATAAACAAATACTATTTCTAGAAGAAAAGAAAAAAACACCCTGTATCTCTTCCATTTCAATTTAAGCTCAACTGTTTAAGGAACACAGGGACAAATACAAGCAGTTCCTTGGTATTTTTCTAGTTTCACTTCCATTCTATGAGTCCATAATCAAGGTTCAGAGCACTCTAGTTAAGCACAGATTTCCAGAAGTCAAATGAGCCCTTCCCTTCAACTGCCACTCTTACTAGAAGGCTATTAATTTCACCCTTCTAGTAAATATGTCAGCATGAGGAAGTGACACAACAGCTATCTCCGATATTAAGGACTAATCTGGTGCTGCTCCTTTATGAAAAGAATAGTAAACCATAACTTTTTAAAAAAATTCACAAGAAATCACAAGTCCTGAAAACATATACACCAGAAAAATTATCTTCAGTTTTTCATATGTATAATTTATTAACACGGTTTTATATTATCAAAAAATTATATGTTGACACAGAAAATTACGTGACTCTGAAATTCCCCCTGACCAGTTAGAAAGAAAAAGAGCATTAAAAGTAAGGATAAAATGTGAGCTTGAACTTGATACACAGAGCTCCAAAACAACAAACATTCATGCTTTAAAAAAGCAAAACAGTTCTTCAGAAGGCAGGTTATCCATGCCAAAGCAAAGCTGGTAACCTAGGTTAGGCAATACTTTTTAAAGAAGGATTATGGAGGGTTCAGTTAACTTTCACATTTACAACGAAATACACAAAGACAGAAGGCACTAATGAATATTCCTAATATTTAGTGATACAGAAGCTACTGAGAGATCTTTTGTTCATGACCCTTATGCCCATCATGTTTATCTGGTTATTCCTGACCACTAGTTTTTCCAAGATGCCGCCGCCTCAGCTGTGAGGTTACATTTCTTGGACAAAGAGAAAGAAAGAAAGACTTAAATAAAGCATTACATAATACAAAGGCATTCATGATCATAGATGGAGTATTTAAGTCAGACTTTCTGACAGCATTAAGATGGGTCAATGTGAAAACAAACCTTTAGTCAAAATTCCTTTAATAAACTTTCAATTCTACATTAACATACGGACTTCATTATATATCCCAAGTAAACCAGCCTAACCGGTATTAATAAATGTACATCCTTATCTAATGCTTCCATCTTTTTAACCCATACATATGATAGCTGAAATATTTTTATTTTTATAAGTCTTTTAAAGCTTAATTTGGCCCACAGTCCAAGATGCAAGCAATGCAAAGGCATGCAATAAGCTTAGCCAGCTTTATCACAAAATAAGTTTGAACACCTGCTTAGAGTATCATAGCTGACAATAGATATCTTTAAAGCACTAAGTAAGTAGTAAATGTGACTAGGCACACTCAGCTCTAGAAAAGCTGATAGATTTAGTCACACCACCTTGGAAAAGGAGTTGGCTAGGAACATGGTGTTTCAGCTGATCATCCCATGCCCTTATGCATTCAGGAATCTTCCACAGCTTCTCCCACCACCTTTCTTTTGTGAATAAACAGGAAAAAAGATGTATAAAGCTTTATTATAAAGAATAAAAGGAAAAAAGAGAATTGAAAATACTTTTAATTATCATTTAACATTATTATTTGTGCTCCATCAAAATCTAACAATTATGCCTTTTTAAAAAACATATACAATACAAACTTTTCTACAACTACCAACTTGTTCTCTTAGGGGAGAAAAGAGTCATATGGAGAGGGAGAGGAGTGTTCTTACATCAACAAGGGATTACTGTCACAAGAATTTAATTTAGAAGAAGAAAAAAACTGAAGTTGAAATCCAACACAGATGAAGAAAGGAAAAAAACAAAATAAGCAATAGGGTAGCAGGAAATTAACCGAGAAAAATATGGGATAAGGCAAAGAGAATAAAAACTCTGGGCAACTGATATATACTAGTATATGTAGTATTTTCAACATAGTCCAATGTAACTTATTATTTTTAACATGTTCTTTATTGAAGTAATTCCTTTGGGAGGGATAGCAATTGATAAAAAACACCTAATAAAATATACCTCTTAACTGAATCTATAAAATTCCCAAGAAGTCCAAATTTAGAAAGTAGATTAAAACTAGAATAATGTGCTCTGAAGTGTCCAAGTATCTGAAAAAAAAATAACAGCATGTATGGCGTCAATTTCTTAAATGTCTGCTTGGACCCTTCTCCACTACTCCTACTTCATTCAATTACCTTTTCTGGCCTACTAATATTCTCAGATTAAACCACCACAGCCTTTAAAAAAAGTAATTGAATACATATAAAAGTATGAATCCTATATTTTAATAAATAAAATCCGATGACCAAAATGGATTCTAAAATCAATTACGTTTGCCCTATTCTAGCCAACACCAAAGTTTCTCTCTGATCACTAAGATCATCTCATAAGTATTTAAACATTTTGAATAAAGTGTTTTCAAGCTCTTGTTTATAGTCAAACTACTGAAACACTAGTTGAAAATAACTCATTAAATGAGGTAACTAAAAAATCTCTACTTAACATTTTATTAACTTAAACTGAATAAAAATTCCATTGTCTGATTTTGGCAAATGTAAATATTAAAGAATAGTAAAATCTAAAGAAATGATCTAAAATAGATACTACACCTTCCTGTTTCTGCATCAAATTAAGAAATTACTGGAATCACTGGCAGTATTCCAAGGTGTCTCACATAATTCACTCTTAAGTTATAATTGTGGGTTAATAACTGTTGGTTAATTACAGGTTTGTTTCTTATATTTTCTAGTAACTTGTGTCTAAATAGTTATACCACATTGAAAGATGTTATATGTCCCTAAAATTGAGCCAAAAAATTTTAGAAGGGAATTAGTTCAGTAACTCACATTTTAACCTCCAAATGATTCTGTCTGAACAATAGACATTAACTGCATTAACAACGTGACTTACAATAGGTACATTTTCATAACTCAATCTAAAATGAATGATCCGAAGGTCAGGGTTTTGGGATGCCGCTGCACTGCCAGCTGCTTGAGCCCTGTTTGGCACATAGTAGCACTCAGTAACTGTTTGTTGAATGACTAATAATTGAAGAGAAAGAAGTTTCACTATTTTTACAATATAAAATTTTTATCATTGTAGGTAGAAATCTCAACATTCTCCTGCTTTTAGGCAAAATGGCACAATCTCCACTCTTAAAGATCTAAAACATGTCAAAGGGAGTGTTTGAGACATTAACAAACCTCCTCCTTCTTGAAGCATTTTTTTTTTTTTGGTCTTTTACTTAATAAGAGATGGCATTTATTGTTACAGCAAAAGACTGTGCTCTAGGCCCTAGAGTCTAGGAAAACATTAAATATAACAGTAAATTTTATAAAAATGTTTGAGTTTAATTCAAATATTCAAAACCTGAGATTTAGGATTATAAAACAAGTCATTATATAAAATATGGTCACAGGAGTCTGTAAGTCTGTTATCAGTGTATTCTTTGTATAGTTCTTACCAGTTTCTGGTGGACAGAATGTGTATTGGCTGCTAGAGGAAGAGCCCATGTTAAAGTCTTCTGGACTCTGTGCTTCTTTAACACTTATGGCTTCTTCTTGATTTCCAATTTCTTCTAACTTAGGTGGCTCAAGGGTCACAATATCAGAATCGTCACTGACAGTTCCAAAAGAAACATTGTCTTCAGGTGACTTTTCTTCCTCTCCCTGAGGAATCATAATTTGAGAGATAGTAAATTCAACAATTATTTAAGGGCCTTATTTTTCTACACCGTTCAAAGTGTAAAATGGTACTTAAGTAGTATGGTAATTTGGGCTTGAAATAAAAGATATGAATCCTGTCTAATAGGAAAGGATTACTCAATAGTAGCTTCATCTTTTAGTATGAAAACCCCTTCAAACTCCTTGGGGACTCTAACTACTGACAACTCCTTGTAGGCTGCAAAAGCTAAGAAGCCCACCTTTACAACCCAAATGAACACAGAAAGGAGAGGATTTCTTACCGGTTCCATGGGTTTATTTATGTGTAACCCTGTAGTCAGGGAGCCCATTAAAAGACTGATGACATTTTCCTGGTTATGTATGTAATAAACGTTAACAGTTATGCCATGTAAAGATCATCTAGCTATCTAGTTTTATCTAGAAGTCAGGTAAATGCTAAAGGATAAGATTTAGTTTGTTCTCAAATTAAAAACTGACCTTGATTTTAGCTTAATTTCTCAATATAATTCAAGAATGTAACCTAATTAGACAAACTATATACCAATACATCAACAAGGCCTGTATACCTATGGATTGATGTTGAACTCTGAATCCATTTTGTCTGACTGTCTTTTCCTGTCTGCTAATGGTATTAGTCATAATAATACCTGTACTTGTTCTTTGTGTTTTTCTATATAGTTCAACTGTTTATGATGGCTGAACATGTGTAACTGTTAATACTCTTTTCATGGCTTACATAAGTGTTATACTAGATGCCAAATACAGAAAGATGAGAGACAGAAGGCAGGACTCAAATCATAGTTCTCAGGATAGAAATGGTCCAGAGTGTTTTTTTAAAATGAAGGCCATAAAACCTGACTGTCTTCCATTTACCTGCCTTTCCTAGTTTGGGAAAATGCAGCCTCAACTCAGACCCTCTGGTTTACAGTGTTGCCCCATCACCAACAATCAAGATGACATCCATACGGAGACTTCCTAGGAATGAGCCTTCCTAGAACTGAGAGACCACACTATTCGACCTTCAGATTTATGATCAAAAGGGGGAAATGTGGATGAAAAAAGGGGATTCTATGGAAAGTAACCTCACAGGATGATCTGATCAGAAATTCCTAACTGGGCAGGTCATGGTAGGTAGTCATGCCCCAGGCATATAAACAAGCCCTGTCCATTATATCTGTACATCTAGGTCAACGCACCTATGAAATAAACTGTAACCACCCAAGATAGAACATAATCTTGTTAACTATCATGTAATCCAACCATTACCTTACTTTTTCTGGCCCCCACATAATTTTCCTTAATTTCAAATGTATAAAAGAAAATGCAAAACTTATTTGAGATCTTGCTCCCAGCATGTCAGGGGTTTGGCTCAAACTCTTATAAAAATTATATACCAAAAAATATATATATACAACCTACTTTGAAAGGAAATTATATTAGTGGTTATATGAATAAGACTTTAACACATTACCAATGAATTACTTTTCTAAATTAAAACACATCTGAATCAGGAGTTTAAATAAAAGCTAACAACTTTAACCTTAACTGATCAATCTGGGGACTCTCAAAATCTTCAATAAAATTTATTTTTAATTCAAATAGGAACAGAATGCACAACTAGAAATGGAAGCTTTGATTAGCATTCTCTATGTTTACCATATTTCCACAGAGTAAAACACAAGCTTACCACAAGTGCTAACTGTGTTTCCTCCAAAGCTGGATAAGCAGTTTCTCCCACTACCATTGTGACAGTTTGGCTGCTCTCTGATATAAAGAAAAAATCAATTCAATTACATTTTATCACTTTGGCAATCTACATATATAATGATCTGGGTGCAAAAAAATGTATTCTCAAATTTTTAAAGTGGATTTAATCAAATGACATAATCAAATGACCTAAGTCATTCTTCTATTGCTAAAAAGGTCTGTATTTCAAATATAATTATTTCAATATTTGAAATTGTCAGGGGATAATTTTAGACACTGAACTGAACTCAGTTAAGAGCAACTAAAGCAATATAATCTCTAAGTAAACAGTCTCTACCTTACAATACCAAAGCACTTACTTTAAAGCAAGGTGTTAACATGCTTTAAAAATCTGTTAACATGGAAAACCAATTCGCAGATATCTGATGGAACATATCCTGCATTGTTAAAGTTTATTCAAGCTAAAGGTACCACTACTCTAATGACTGTCAATGTCTGGCAACACAAGAATCAAAACTATGGCTCCGAATTATGAACTATCCTATGTAATAAAGAGGTAATATGCAAATTGACCATCACTCCAACACACAAGAAGGCCTGCAGGAGAGGGCAGTTGTGGGCGGTCAGGCCAGCAGGGGAGGGCAGTTGGGGGTGACTGTGCAGGCAGGGGGGGCCAGTTGGGGGCGACTGGGCCAGCAGGGGAGGGCAGTTGGGGGCAATCAGGCTGGCAGGGGAAGGCAGTTGGGGACGAGCGTGCCTGCAGGGGAGGGCAGTTGGGAGGGGGGGGCCCAGGCCTGCAAGGGAGGGCCGCTGGCTGGTTAGGGGGTGATCAGCCCGGCAGGCAGAAGAGGTTAGGAGCAATCAGGCAGGCAGGCAGGTGAGCAGTTGGGAGCCAGCAGTCCTGGATTGTGAGAGGGATGTCTGATTGCCCGTTTTCCATATGAACTAGTTGTTCATATGGAAAATAATCCTATATAATAAAGAGCTAATATGCTAATTAGACCAAACAGTGGAACGACCATCCAGACGACCTTCCGGACGAAGCTGGGGCTGCAAGGGCCCGCCAGACATCCCTCAAGGAGTCCCAGACTGGAGAGGGTGCAGGCTGGGCTGAAGGACACACACACACACACACACACACACACACACACACCCATGCACGAATTTCGTGCAACAGGTCTCTAGTTTATAATAAAAAATAGACTGTAAAAAAAAACACGAACTTGAGCCCTGGCCAGGGTGGCTCAGTTAGTTGAGCATCATCCCTGCACCAAAAAAGTTGTCTGTTTGATTCCCAGTCAGGGCACATGCCCAAGTTGCTGGTTGAAGTCCATGATCAGGGTGCTGTTCTAGAGGCAACCAATTGATTGTTTCTCTCTCACGTTGATGTTTCTCTCTTTCTCCCCCTTTCTCTCTCTCTCTCTGAAAAATCAATAAAAACATATTTTAAAAAGGACTTGGAAAAATGTACAAGAGTTCATATTAGAAAGGCTATACAATATTAACAAAATTTGAAAGTATTAAAATAATATAATAATAAGTGTAAATTTATGCATAGCAAAGAACATACAGGGTGGGGCAAAAGTAGGTTTATAGTTGTTCATATGGAAAATAATCCTATATAATAAAGAGCTAATATGCTAATTAGACCAAACAGCGGAACAACCATCCGGACGACCTTCCGGAAGAAGTCGGGGCTGCGAGGGCTGGCCGAGGCTGTGAGGGGCTGCATTGCGCCTCTAGTACAATAATAAATGATAATACAAGAAAGAATAAACTCTGTGTTTCACATACTTATAACTGTAAACCTACTTCTGCCCTCCCGCATACCAAATGTTTACAGAAATTATCTCCAGACCAAAAAAATTATGGGTAGTTCAATTTTTTTTTTTTGCTCATCATTTTTTCTCTAACATCTATTTCCCATATAATTTAATCCATACAAAAGAAGGAAAAAAAACATACACTGCTTTTGTATGTTATAGTCCCTAACAGAGTATTAATTTGGAGGTAAGACTCCTCAACAAAGGTGGACTTGGGTCCAAGAACTCCTAAGGAAGTATGGAAATTTTTTAGATACACGAGTATATGCATTTTTTGGGAGGGACTGTCCCTAGCTTTCAGTTTCTCAAAGAGATCTCTGACCCATGAAAGTTGACAATCACTGTTCAAAGGAAATCAGTAATCAACAGGTAGGCTAAAAACAAGATTAACAGGTATAATCTATTGTATTTCTAGCCTGGACACCTCCACTTGATTCTCCAGGGGGAAAATGTTCTGTTTAAATTTTTAGTAATTTTTTAAAGAAGTTTAGAAGTAATTTAAATACGAAGATTAGAATATACATTCATTATTTGGGCATCATATTTCTTCATATGATTAATGTGAACATCAAATCCCATAGGAAGTGGGATTATACACAATGTAGACGTTTCTAGCCTGGACATCTCCACTTGATTCTCCAGGGGGAAAATGTTCTGTTTAAATTTTTAGTAATTTTTTAAAGAAGTTTAGAAGTAATTTAAATACGAAGATTAGAATATACATTCATTATTTGGGCATCATATTTCTTCATATGATTAATGTGAACATCAAATCCCATAGGAAGTGGGATTATACACAATGTAGACGTAACACAGTTGTTAAATGCCATTTACCACTTCTAATCAAAGTACTCTGAAGTGTGACAAATACTGGAAAAGTTTGGTAAATCTCTTGTGATAATTTAATAATTTTGTACATCACTAGTCTTAATCAAGATTGATAATACTGAGTCACTGAAGGACTCAATATTACATGTGCAATATCAAAGAGTTATCTGGAGGCTCAAACATATACTACAGCTGTAAATAAACAAGGCCCTGGGAAGGCTGGTACCACCAGACTCTGCAGGGTTGCCCACCTAGTCCATACTAACACATTAGTCCTTCAATGGCCTAATCACTTAGCTATCCACCTAGATTAGTAATGTCCCAAACACGTCCAATTTTAAAAATAAATATATCCAACTTATTAAACATCTTACCTCCTTGTTCTAACTGCAATACTTGTAGCTCCTCTTGCTCTAAAGATGAATACTCTGGGAGGAGCTCACAGCTGTCACTGGCTGTCCCATGTTCAGAAGCCACCATCTCTATATCAGACCCCTAGGAAAAAGTGAAAATCAGTTATTTGTCTATCGGCTCATCAAAGTTTTGAATACAAGTAGATGCATCCATTATTTAAAGTCCCAATGTTGCTATACTCCAAAGAGAGCAGTATCTAATCTGATTACCTTTTGTTCAATTTACTCCATAAAGGCCTATGGCAGGGAAACAGCAAAATGGAGAACAGGTTTAGATTCTAAAAGTGAAGTCAGACTAAAAGTTGAATGCTCTAACTACTCTATTTCACAAACCCAAGCAATAAATTTGAATCCCAATGAATAAATGTTTGTGAGCTATTTTTATTAATTTGCTTCTACTCAAGATTACAGAGTTTGTTAGGTAAGATAGGTATAAAAAATTAGAATTTTAAAGTTACAGCCTATTCAGAGAAACAGCCACATGCAAATAACTACTTATTACAGCAATGTATAAATGAAAAAGTTTAAGGGCAAGGCATACAATGAACCCATTTAGATTAATAGGGTTCCTTATAAAATTTTAGAGTATTATTTATTCTTCCAAGCTTGTCCTTCCTACTTTGATGTTAGACTGTCTTTTACTTAATAAATAGTTAGTGGATTTTGAGGGTTTTTTCCTTGTGTCTTAATTAGTGAAATAAAGTTAACCACTAGTTGATTCTGCCTCTACCCATGCCCTCAATTTTCCTATAGTTTACTAATCTATGAAACCAAAAGGTCTGAGTTCTCCTTATAAACATACAACAACAACAACAAAAAATTAAAAGAACTCATTAAAGGATTGGGTTTTAAATAATCCTAAATGTAAGTTTTTGGGGTTGCCTAAAGTGGGAGGAAATAGTAGAAACAGAGGCAAGATTAGGGATGGACTGGTAGTTTCAGGGGAGATCAGTTGTGGCCTACATCAGAATGGGGACAGTAGGGAAAGGAAAACAAAAACAAAAACATGTAAGACTTGATAACTAGATATGATGGGAAGAGGGATACAAGTATAGATATGATCTACTCTGTGACAAGCTATCCCTAACACAGAATACCCTCATGCCAGAGAGGTTTACTTACTGTCTTGCTTCACACTACACTCCCAAGTAAGACTCCCACAGCTGCCTAGTTAATTATCTTTGAAGGAGAAGTTGTTGCTAAGGGAGTTGAGCTAAGCTTGGTAGAAAACAGGTTAAAATCAGAAAAGTCACTGATTTACAAAAAAAAAAGAAACTACCTCACCCAAATAAAGAAAAGAAACTGCCCTAGCCTGTTTGGTACAGTGGATAGAGCAGGGGTCCTCAAACTACGGCCCACGGGCCACATGCAAATACAAATATTGTATTTGTTCCCGTTTTGTTTTTTTACTTCAAAATAAGATATGTGCAGTGTGCACAGGAATTTGTTCATAGTTTTTTTTTAAACTATAGCCCAGCCCTCCAACGGTCTGAGGGACAGTGAACTGGCCCCCTGTTTAAAAAGTTTGAGGACCCCTGGGATAGAGTGTCGGCCTGTGGGCTAAAGGGTCCCAGTTCTGATTCCGCTCAAGGGCACTTACCTCGGTTGCAGGCTCCTCCCTGGCCCAGGCCCTAGTCAGAGCCGGTGCAGGAGGCACCTATCGATGTGTTTCTCTCTGTCTTTCCCTCTCTCTTCCATTCTCTCTCAAAAATCAATGGAAAAATATCCTCGGGTGAGGATTAAAAAAGAAAAGAAAGAAAAGAAACCATCTCAAACTCAATTGGTAAAGTTGCTATTAAATTTTGAAACTTTCTTGCAGAAAAGCAATCATTTTTTGTTAATGTTGTTTTCTAGAAGATATGACTAATTGTCTAAACCTCACATTATCAAAGTAATTATAAAAAATACCATCTAAAATATTTTTGAAGTTTGACATACTGTTCATTTTAATTTTTTATTTATTTGAGAGAGGGAGAGAGAGTTATATCAATTTTTTGTCCCACTTATTTATGCATTCATTGATTGTTTCTTGTATGTACCCTGACCAGGGATCAAACCCACAACTTTGGCATATCAGGAAGATGCTCTAAGCAACTGAAATCAGCCATTAAAACCCTTATTAATGAAGAAAAACAAGTGAGGCTTAAGAGATCCTGAAAACAAAAAGAGAGATAGATAAATCCATTAAATTTTGAATAGGTATAGATGATTTTTATGATATTGCTTCTATTCTTCAGTATTTTATGATTTTTCTATAATGGACATATATTACCAGTGTGAGAAAATGTTTATTATGTACTAATTATGAAACATCAAACTTCTATAATAAAATTCATTTTGTGATACAGTTCTAGCCATAGTGCTTTTCCTAGCAAGTTCTACTACTATATATCACAAGTGGAACACATATTCTCCACGCTCCTTTCTCAATGTTTTTAAATGCAGGCTCTGATATTTCCCAGTTGCACACTTCTGGCAAAATTACTTAACCTCTCTAAGCTTTACTTTTCTCAACTATGAAATGAGAATGAAAACAATCTATACCAGATATTTAAAATTATATGAGAACATAGGTAAGGCACAGAACCTGACCAATAATAAACCCTCAATAAATATTTTCCTACTGTCTCAAAGCTGAGAAAAGTAATGTGCAATAATGTAGACGATATTGGCTCAAAGAGTTTTCAGTAATGAAGTTTAATGCAGCTGGGAAAATGTCCAAGCTAGAGACAATGAAACCGCATGCTTAAATGTAGAAAAAATAATGACTTTCAAAGAACTCAATTTTTACATCACTGCTAACACAGTAATATTACAAACTAGAGGCCCAGTGCACAACATTTGTGCACTGGGGGGGAGGGGAGGTCCCTCATCAGCCCAGCCACCCTCTTGCAGTACAGGACCCCTGGGGGATGTCCAACTGCCAGCAGGCCCCCAAGGGGTCAATGGTGCTGCCATGGAGGTGACGGCTCCCGCCACCGATGCTGCACCTGCCAGCCTTAAGCCCAGCTTCTGGCTAAGCAGCGCTCCCCCTGTGGGAGCTCACTGACCACTAGGGGGCAGCTCCTGTGTTGAGCATCTGCCCCGTGGTGGTCAGTGCGTGTCATAGCGACCGGTCGTTCCATTGTTCGGTCAATTGGCATATTAGCCTTTTATATATATAGGACTGCCTTATAAAAAGTATTGAATAGCATACCTCATGATTGATGACAGTCCAACCACAAGATGAATCACTGTCACTGGAGTTTTCAGCCATTTTTCAGGTCTACAAACACAAAAATACACTGACATGTTAGGCATATTTTATTTTTTAATTTTTTTTATTGATTTCAGTGAGGAAGGGTGAGGGAGAGACAGAAACATCAATGATGAGAGAGCATCACCAATCAGCTGCCCCCTGCACACCCCCTGATGGGGAACAAGCCTGCAACCCAGGCATGTGCCCTGACCAGGATTCAAACCATGACCTCCTGGTTCATAGTTCGAAGCTCAACCACTGAGCCATACCAGGAAGGCGGGCATATTTTTAAAATCCTATTAGAAGAACTATATGTGACCCAAGTATGAAAAGTGACTTGCTCTCTCTCATTTGAAACTGAGACAACCTACCCATGAATTTACTATACAAGATATGATTGCTTAATTAAATAAACAAATACAACCTAACTTTTAAAACAAGGAGATCCTCCTAAACTGTAAATAGTCTAGACAGCAAATACTTCAATTGAAATTAAAATAGGGTGGAGGAGGGGTTGGGGAGCAGAAGTTGGTTAGAAACTGTTGTCATTGGCAATAAGCTAGACCTAGTCCTACACCAACATACATTTGTCTCTACCTGGTTTGTTCTCCCCTTTCTTTCTGACACTCCTATTTAAACTTCAAATCTGCCCAGCTGGTGTGGCTCAGTGGTTGAACATCAACCTATGAATCAGGAGATCATGGTTCGATTCCCGGTCAGGGTACATGCCCAAGTTTGAGGGCTCCATCCCCAGGAGGCAGCTGATTGATGAGTCTCTCGCATCACTGATGTTTCTATCTCTCTCTGTCACTCTCCCTCCATCTCAAAAATAAAATATCTCCCTCTATATATAAAGAGCCAGGGTCCATAACATCCAAAACGACCGAATGGACGACCAAACACCGAAGTCAGCAGCTGCAGGCATGGCAACCCAGCACTGACTGCTGAGGGGGCTGCAGATCAGGCCCGGAGAGAGAAGCGGGGTCTGATCCGCAGCCTCCGTGGCAGCTGTTGATCAGCCCTTGCCTCTCTCTCTCTCTGGGCCTCGCCAGCAGCCACGGGGGCTACTGATCAACCCCACCTCTCTGATCAGGCCGCAGATAGGCCCAGAGACACTGATTGGCATAGAAACTGACCAATCAGAACCAAATCTGGGTGAACTGAAAGGAGTCAATGGCTGCCTAGGAGGCGGAGCTTTTGATGCTGACTGGCATAGAAACCGACCAATCAGAACCAAATCTGGGTGAACTGAAAGGAGTCAATGGCTGCCTAGGAGGCGGAGCTTTTGATGCTGACTGGCATAGAAACCGACCAATCAGAACCAAATCTGGGTGAACTGAAAGGAGTCAATGGCTGCCTAGGAGGCGGAGCTTTTGATGCTGACTGGCATAGAAACCGACCAATCAGAACCAAATCTGGGTGAACTGAAAGGAGTCAATGGCTGCCTAGGAGGCGGAGCTTTTGATGCTGACTGGCATAGAAACCGACCAATCAGAACCAAATCTGGGTGAACTGAAAGGAGTCAATGGCTGCCTAGGAGGCGGAGCTTTTGATGCTGACTGGCATAGAAACCGACCAATCAGAACCAAATCTGGGTGAACTGAAAGGAGTCAATGGCTGCCTAGGAGGCGGAGCTTTTGATGCTGACTGGCATAGAAACCGACCAATCAGAACCGGTGATCAGGCAGGCAGGCAGAGGCAGTTAGGGGTGATCAGGCAGGCAGGCAGGTGGGCAGTTAGGAGCCAGCGGTCCCAGATTGTGAGAAGGATGTCCCCCAAGGGCTCCCCAATTGGAGAGGGTGTGGACTGGGCTAAGGGAGCCCCCCCCATGCACGAATTTCGTGCACCGGGCCACTAGTCTATATATATAAAAGCCTAAGCGACGGACCGACCAGTCAACCGGTCACTATGACGCACACTGACCACCAGGGGGCAGATGCTCAATGCAGGAGCTGCCCCTTGATGGTCAGTGCACTCCCACTGCAGGAGTACAGTTCAGCTGACCGACCCATCCCAGCAGCCCACCAGCCGCCACTCTCTCCCTCAGTAGTCCTACAGGTCCAATCTCTGGAGAATGGGCCAGGCACCAACAGACCAGCACTGGCGGGTCTAGTGGAAGTCGGTCTCAGGCACCATGGCCGCTTCCCCTCCCTAGACGCTCAGCAAGGAAGAAACAATATAAAAAGTGGCCGCCAGGTGGCTCCCAACAACCAGCGTGAACTTCAGCAGGATGGATCCAGATCCCCGGATGGCAAGGGTATCCTACTGCCCTCCCGGAGGGCTGATCACATCCCAGCGCCCCCCCCATCCCCCTTGGGATGGGTGCCAGACACAGGGCTCATGGCTGGTGAGCACCACTACAGCGGCACAGGCCTCTCCCGATTGGGACTGACTGAGCGCGATCCCACGGCAAGCACAGCAGGGCCGGGATGAGCGGGAGCAGCAGGCAGGAGTGGCAGGCGGTGTTGGACTGCGGGTTTTAGTCAATCCCTGCAGGCCACCCCAAGGGACCCCACCTGTGCATGAATTCATGCACCAGGCCTCTAGTATATACATATGTATATGTATATATAAACTTCAAAACCAAACTCACTGACTCTGCCTTACTGACTCTGTTATACACATTTAATTCTTATTGTGCAGTGTATGTACTTCTATTGTTACACATATACTGAGAACACAATTATTGTACATTAGAGGCCCGGTGCAAAAAATTCGTGCATGGGGGGGGGAGGGGGGTCCCTCAGCCCGACCTGCACCCTCTCCAATCTGGGATCCCTCAGGACATGTCCTACTGATGGCTTAGGCCCACTACCCATGGTTCTCTGCTCTCTGCGAGGCCTGGCTGCTCCACA